AACATTGTTTGCATTCAGGAGAGGAATTTTACCAGTGCTGTTGGCCTTTTGCAGGATCACTATGGTAATCTGGTGTTAGCTTTTGCGGGTATTACGGGGCATTCTGATTGCCTGGGTGGCTTACTTTGTGCTTTCCTTCATGGGTTGAATGTTTGTGTTAATCTTGATGTGAGGAACATTGATCTGGAGGTGAATTCTGGCTTTAATTTAAAATTTTTGCTCAATAGGGATGATGGTAACTGTACTTATTCCTCGTTTTATACTATTAGGAGTATTAAGAGTATTTTAGCTGATATTAACTGCTCCTTTTTGTCGATCAGTGAGGAAGGTAATGCTCCTGCTGTTCGCCTGGCGATGCTGGGGATTAATTTTGATAGTTTATGTGATTTTTCTTTCAACCTCCTGCCTAATTCTATTAAGGGTTTAATTAATTTGGATCGTATGGGTGTCCCTTATATCACTGCGTAATGGGGGTTTTATTTTGGAGGCTACGTGATTCCTTCTCTTGGGTTATTTCTGGAGGTGGAGCTGGGCGGTTTTCCTGGTCTTCCAGTGTGCTGGGCTTATCCTGCTTTGTTTTGGTTTTTTTTTGTTTGTAGGTGGCTGCTGGGTTCCTGCTTGGTGAGAGCTTTTGGGTTTTTCTGTTTCCTTTTTTGTGGCCCCTGTTTTTCTAGAATCTGTACTTCTTTCGTGTTTTGAACTTCAAGGACCGAAAGATTTTCGGGATAATCTGGTTTACCTGCTGTGATTTTCAAGATCAAAACCATATTCATGTATTAGTTATTTATTCCTTTATTTTTGTTAGTATCTTTGATGTTTTCATTTTGCAGGCTATTCGTTGCGTGATCATATTTTTTGGAAGATGGCTTGTGCTGAAAGTGATATCCTTAAGCTTTCTTTTTGGTTTTTGGGCGCCTTCTTGGTGCCGCCTTAGAATGTTTCTAGGCAATTTTGTATTTGGTTAGATGTGGACTTTCTGCTCTTTAGTTTTTCTTTTCTTTTTATGCATTGTAGCTCTTCGAGCATTAGTGGGTGGATCGTCCTCTTAAGGACTATATAATTTTATCTTTAATCAACGCGTAAGCCCCTATCGCGGGTTTCCCCTAAAAAAAAAAAATTATAGTTAAGAAATATTGTTAATAAATGCTGTCAATAATTAGTCTTTCTTTGGACCGGCTTACTATATGCATGAATAATTTCAAAATTATCACATATTTATAACTACATTTTTAGAGTCCGGCAAAAAATAATCTTCCTTTAGGCCGATTATTTTTGGCATATACTAGAAAAAACTTTAGAACTATTCAATTAAATTTAAATTAAATAAATTGATCTAATATAAGTCACTTTGGTGACATATTATTTCAATTTAATTTAATGAATAATTATTTATGGAAAATACTTATTCAATAAAAAATAAATAACTTATTTAGAAAATTTTTCCATAAGGAACAAAAGGCATCTTGCTAAATTTAGTACAGATGCAAGACTACAATAAGATAATTAATTCTATTATATAATTAATCATCACATGGTTGAAAAACTAAATCCAACATTAAAAGTTTTTGTATTGCAAAACACCAATTTCGAGAATGATTTAAAATAATAGCATTGCACTAAATCCAAACAGTTATTTCATTAAACATTAATGTATCCATTTCTTTCTAATCATTATGTCGGTTGAAAATTAAATCCACAAGATTTAATTATGCATGCATAGTAAAACAAAATGAGGGTAATTAACTATATACAAGGGCTTGCACCTATAGGAAATCAGAACTCATATCATAAAGTCCTCACAAAATGAGGGTGAAATCTCTGAGTAGTGTCTTATCGACAAACCCATATTCCTTTCCAAAATTTACCCTGGAACTTATTCCGTTAAAACTCTATATGTATCTGATTGACGACTAACCTTAATTGAATGTTCTCTCTCATTATTGGGAGGGGTAATTAACTATATATAGGGGCTTGCACTTATAGGAAATCAGAACTCATATCATAAAGTCCTCACAAAATGAGGATGAAATCTCTGGGTAGTGTCTTATCGACAAACCCATCTGCCTTTCCAAAATTTATCCTGGAACTTATTCTGTTAAAACTCCCCCTCATAAAAGAAAAAGCAATTAAAGCGGGCGGACTTTATGATATCCATTTCTTTCTAATCATTATGTCGGTTGAAAATTAAATCCACAAGATTTAATTATGCATGACAATTTTAATATATTTATATGTAACTAACGTATTAAAAGAAAAACAAAAAGCAAAATAATCGTACATTATACAACAGATGCATCGTTTGAAAGCAAAATCCTTCACTTTAATAAAAAAAACTTTTTATGGAAGAAGGCGATGCAAGGAAGAATAATGATACAGTTAAAGAAAATGTTTTGAATGTATATTCAATACTTTATTTTAGTTTTCCAAAATATAAGAGAAATAGATTTGGAAGAACTTGCAATTATATTGCATAAAAAAAAACAAATTGTTCAAAATAAGAAATTGTTCTTAAATGAAAATATCTTATGACCGAAAAACTCAAATAATCAGTAACATGATTAGAGAAAATCATTTCTCCTTAATTCAACATGACAACCTGACTCTGATACCAGTTGTAGGATTTACTAGAGATAGAAAAAGTATTTCGATCGTCTCTGAAAGACATGCCAAATCATCGAGAAGAATTATCGGAAGCGTACTTGAATCCATTGAAATGCAGAATCAAGGTTTTTTGTCTTCCACGTTTGAAGCAGCGTTCTCCAAGAGAGTGAGAGACCCATTCTTTTCACTCAAGATAAGAAGTGAGGTAAATGAGAACTTAACCGCTTAAACTAGGGACCACGACCTCTTTATATCTTAAATGTATTTATTTTATTTCAGCCTATCATTAAAATAAAATAAATTCTTGCATTCACACAATAATTAATTACATACAAATTTAATTGAGATGATACATAAGCCAAATAATAATTTAATACTTAAATAGATCATGAATTTAATTGACTTATAAAACTTTATTTATATGTATAAATATATGCGCCTTTATATAGAAATTTTCCAACAAACAACAGCCAAAAAGCTTATATAAAGATTATAAATTAGAGTTTTTATGTGAAAGATCAGATTCTATCTTAGATGGCGCATAACCTTGCCATATAATAGTTGCACCTAGATCCATAAGTTCTTCACCATGCCTGGATAACGCAATTTTTAGATCTAATCTTATATTTCCTGATGTTGTATCCCCTACCAGTCAAAGTTTTATGTTGATAGAGGTGATGAAACAGTTGACTGGTAAATCATTTGTACCATTATTAGCTTTAAATATTTAGAGTTAAATTGAGCAAATAATATTAAAATTTTTTCAGTAGAACTTCATGAGAATAGTTCTCGAGCATGCTATATAATTATAAAATCAACATAACTTTATAATCCAAACATGGAAGTCAAGATCGAACATTTTCATCAATTAGGATTGTAGAATGTTTAACTTGAAATTAATGTCCTTGAAGAATAATTTATGAATCATTTTAGCTGTAAAAATGAAGGGAGCATAAGAAAATGGATAATCATGTAGAAGAAGAAAGTTTTATTCTGAAAGGAAGCTACTTACAGATCTATTAATGCATAATAGGGAGCTCCCAAGCTACAGAAGCCACAAGCACTACAACAAAGAAAAATATGAGTAAATTGAAGAGAGAGATAGACAGAGAGTACACGCATCCAATTGAAAAAAAAAAACGGACATGCATGTGTAACACGCATGTCATGATAATACATTATAAATTTAAAAGTATATAAATAACTTAAATTAAATTTTATATACAACAACAAAAACAACATCAAGCCTTTGTCCCACTACGTGGGGTTGGCTACATGAATCCTTTTTCTCCATTGTGTCATATTAAAGTCAAATTCTCATTTAAATCTAATACAGAAAGTTCATTTCTAATATTTTCTAACCAAGTTTTTTTAGGTCTATCTCAACCTTTCTTAACATAAGTCAAATCAAAACATCTACTCTTCTAACCTGGTCATCGGAAGGCCGCCATTTTATGCGACCAAACCATCTAAGGTGACTATCTCTAATCTTATATTCCACAGGAGCTACTCCAACCTTTTCACGTATATGCTCATTTCGTATCTTATCTCTAAGGGTAAAGCCACTCATCCACCTGAGCATACTCATCTCTGCCACACTTAACTTAGTATTATGCTTCTCTTTTAATGGCCAACATTCGGCACCATAAAGCATTGCAGGCCTCACTACTATATATCTTATAGAATTTTCCCTTAAGTTTGAGGGGTACATTTCTATCACATAACAAGCCTGATGCATTCCTCCACTTTAACCATCCAATTTGAATTCTACTGATAATATCCCCATCTATTTCCCCATCACTCTAAACAAAATTTTAATATAAAGCCATCCCAAACGAAGCCTAAATTTTTCAGCTTTGATATCATAAAAAAAATTAAGAGAACATATGATTCAATTTTGGGCGCGCAACAGTAGTTGTTAGTAAAAAAATTTAGATGTAAAATTATTATAATTAGAAAATATTATTTGAAAGGTGTTTATTTAATTTTTTAATTATTATATTATAAAAATGTACTTCTCCCTATAAAAATTTATAAACATTAAAAAAATATATATCCAAATAAAATTATCAAAAAGTTGCGCAATGAACTTCTTTTACTGCAAGGTCTACTCAAATATACGTGGCATGTATTAGCTTGCAAGACAGGTAATTATCAAGGATTCATTTCATATGCTACGTTCAGTTATTGCATGGTAATTGGCCGTTGCAACAACTTCGAGAGCAATATTAGCATCGGCTTTGTAGGCTTTGATCATTATTTCATTAAATAATACCTATAACGAACCCATTACCTAGCTTACCCCACCTCATACATATATAAGAGTACGCGATCCCTGCCATGGCATCCATTACCATCTCATTGAGCTTCACATCATCTTCTTAAAGCAACCCTTATCTATGGAAAGCAACAGCACTGCTACCAAGCCTTGTTTTTCCTTCTGCTTGTTTCTCTGGTTCTCTCTACTCGTTCTTAAAGCCAATGCAGAAGTTCACTACCATGACTTCGTGGTATGCCGCCCTGAATATATATATGTATTCGGTATTCCTCCTGTATCTATGTCTTCATTTGGGACATCTTACTTTCTGTTTTTTGAAATTGTTTTAAGAAAGCTGTTTTAAGAAACTGAAAGAAAGCCGTTTCAAACGAAGCCGTATTTGTAGTTCCTAATCAATCAAGGGAGTTATTTTTTGTACTAATAGATACAAGTCACGCCAGTGAAGAGGTTGTGCCATACACGCTCCATTATTACAGTCAATGGGCAGTTCCCCGGACCGACCCTCCTGGTCAGGAATGGAGATAGTCTGGTGGTCAAAGTTGTAAACCAGGCCAAGTATAATATTACTCTTCATTGGTATGTTGAACTATTTATGTATGTTTTTGGATTGTTTTCTTATCATAAAAAATATGCAAATTTGATGCCAACATAAGTATTTGTGATCAGGCATGGAGTTAGACAGCTGAGAAACGGTTGGGCAGATGGGCCTTCCTATGTGACACAATGCCCAATTCAGCCTGGAGGGACTTACACATACAGGTTCACTATACAGAGTCAAGAGGGGACCTTATGGTGGCATGCTCACAACACCTGGCTTAGGGCTACAGTCTATGGAGCTTTAATAATTCATCCCAAAGAGCATTCTACCTATCCTTTTGCCACACCAAAAAGAGAATTCCCAGTCATTCTTGGTATGGTCATTTCTTTCATTGCAATCAACTTCAGTTATAGCTAGCTGATATACAAAGGGAAAAAAAAAAATTTACATTAAATTTAAATTTTGTTTGGGACGATTTTCTTACTGCTTCTTAAAATAATTTTTTAGTATAAAAATTAAAAAAAAAAAAAAATCTCCAAATCATCTTTTCATTTGAAAAAGGCATAATCAATGATTAAAAAATTGGAATGCACCGACAGGCGAGTGGTGGAATTCGAATCCCATTGACGTGATCCGGCAAGCCCTGAAGACCGGAACTTCTCCGAACAGCTCTGATGCCTTAACCATCAACGCCCAACCAGGAGATCTCTTAAAATGCTCCAGCCCAGGTACTCTAATATTTTAGTATCATTGAACTATATGACAAGTTCAATTTTGTTGGCTGTCGTTTTATAATATACGAACATGAAATTAATGCAGAAACGACAGTATTCCCGGTGGGCCCCGGCGAGACCATCCTCCTCCGCTTCATCAACGCCGCCATGCTCACCGAGCTCTTCGTCTCAATAGCCGACCACCAAATGACCGTGGTGGCCGTCGACGCCTCCTACACTAAACCCTTCAAAACCTCAGTCATTATTATCGGGCCCGGCCAGACCACCGACCTCCTAATCCAAACCAACCAGCCCGCCGGCCGCTACTACATAGCCGCCCACGCCTACCAAAGCGGCCCGCCCAACACCCCCTTCGACAACACAACCACCACCGCCATCATCACCTACAACAACCAAATCACCATAGCAAAGCCAAAGCTTCCCGTCTTGCCAGCCTACAATGACACTGCAACTGTCGCCGCTTTCACTGCGGGTCTTAAAAGCCCGGGTCCCATCAAAATCCCCGAACCCGTAAACGAGAATCTCTTCTTCACAGTCGGACTGGGCCTATTTAACTGCCCGTCGAGGAAAACCTGTAGCGGTCCCAACAACACTCGGTTCACCGCTAGCATGAACAATTACTCTTTTGTTACCCCAACTCGTCAGTCTCTGCTCCAAGCCGCTCAATTAGGCATTCCCGGCGTCTTCACAACTGACTTTCCGGCTTCCCCTCCCGTCAAATTCGACTACACAGGCAACAATATAAGCCAGAGTCTCTACCAACCAATTAGAGCCACGAAGCTCTACCCTCTGAAATACGGCTCAGTTGTTCAACTAGTCATGCAGGGAACCAATATTTACGCCTCAGAAGAACACCCAATGCACATCCATGGCTACGACTTCTACGTATTGGCAACAGGGAAAGGAAATTTCGATGCGAAGAAGGATACGGCGAAGTTCAATTTTGTAGACCCGGTGCGTAGGAATACAATTGGCGTGCCAGTGAAGGGGTGGGCGGCTATAAGGTTCGTGGCTGATAATCCAGGCGTTTGGTTTGTTCATTGCCATATCGACTCTCATTTGACATGGGGCTTGGCCATGGCGTTTCTGGTGGAGAATGGAGTCGGCAAATTGCAATCAACCATACCTCCTCCGCTTGACCTTCCAAAATGCTAGGGTTTGAAAGAAGTGATCTCTGCTGCTCTGTTTGGATCTTGGCTGCTTCATTGTACTTGTACGTGGTATATGGATTTACTGTAAGTTGATTTATTATCAGAATTTGTTCCTGCTTAATTAAAACAATGGATTATTGGTGAGTTCATCTGAGCTGCAACTGAGATAAAAGAGAAATTATTCTGCTTGGAGTTCTCACTTATTTGCATCCGGACTATAATTAAAATAGGCCATATTGTTTAGATATATAACATGTGTATGATCATATATACATTGTGTCTATAATACACATGCTATGTACAAATGAAGTGGTCAATTATAATTGAAGTATAGACACATCCACATAAAATAATTTATTGAGATAAAGAGGTCCTTTTCTATGGTTTTATTCGGCATTAATTATTTATATATTGTTTATTTCCTATCAATAATTGAATGCTGAGTTGTCTTCTAATTGATAAGTTTCTTCATCGGCATCAATTAGCTACATTTACTAGTTTCAAATCATAATTCATTTATTTATTTAAGTATTATGAAGGTCCTTGTGAAAGAATCAACGGAATTTAAGACAATAAATTTAGATAATAATATTAAAATATTAATTAGTTTTTCTATTTTGAAATGAATGTCCTATTTGAATTAACATGTATATATAGAAGTGTTTATTCAATCCAAGTATTTTGTGAGGCAAATGTGTCATTTTATATTTGTAATGGAGTTTCTTGGGATTATGAGTGCTAAAGGGCTCATATGAGAAAAATTTCTTATTGTTTTGTTTTTGAAAATGCAATTATAATTTATATTTGATCATTGTTGTTTTGCTATTTTCGATAAATTTTATACTGGAGAGCTGCTTTCTATAATAATCTTAAAAAGTATTAAGAAAGTTATCTCAAACGAAGAGAGAAATATAATTTTAAATTATGTGATTCACCTCAAAAAAATTAAATTTTTTTACTTTAAAAATCCTACAATAGAAAGCAATTTTGCGAAGTCCATGGGATGGACTTCTCGGTTGCTTTCTGGTACCAAAACAATTTTGCTCTTGACCGTTAACAAAGATTATGCAATGATTTTTTTTTTGCCATTAAAGAGAGACTTGAACTAACAAGACTGAAATAAGGAGTACTCTAGTCTGAGTGCTGGGTAGATGATGATGAAGATCTTGACCGAATTGAATCTCATAAGATTATTTTGTTGAGCTTCAATGTACACAACTCACTCCAACATAATTTTAATCCTTTAAGATTACAGCATTAGTCGACATCTATTGTGTTGTCATCTACATAATTTTATATTAGTTTACATTAGGGGTGTAAGTGAGCCGATTCAGCAGCTTATCGCGCTCGACTCATTTATGGGCTTGCGAGTTGAGCTTATCAAGCTCATGAGTCGAGCTCCATCTCGTTTATTAAACGAGCTCAAGTTCAAGATTCATGAGGCTAAACTCGACAGCTCGTAGGTCGGCTCGAATCACTATTAATATTTTAAATAATTTTTATTTTATTTATTAAATGGGAATAATATTGAAAATTAATAATAAATATCTTTTTTAATCCAGCCTAAGCCTAAATTTGAACCAAATTCAGCTTGAATTTGTGACTGCACGTGGCTCGAGGCAGACGATCCTCACGAGATGAACCACACGAGCTCGGGGCGGAGCGCGGTTACATGTGCAAACTGTGGAAATTGGAAGACGAGGGGGCGGACGACTCGCTCGGTCCCAGAAGGCGGACGACGCAGAAGGTAGCCTGGACCGGCGAGGCTCACGAGTCAGCTCAAGCTGATTTACAATGGGACAAGCTCGAGTTTTAACTCGTCTTTTGAGCTCGAGCTCGAGTTCGAGCCGGGTTTCTGGCTCACGAGCCAAGCTCTATAATGTCATTACTCGAATCAACTCGACACATTTACACCCCTAGTTTACACACGTCGTACACAGTTTATTAACTTAATTATTATATTAACTTATCTTGAACAGTATTTTTAGTGTCATATTATTTACCGTCTATTAATGTATTTGTTGTGAAAGTTTTTAATTAACAAAAAGAATATTTTCAAAAGTACCAATTCACTTCTTTTTATGTGCAATTAGACAAAAAGGTTCACGTGAACCACAAGGATTCAATTTAAAAATAGAACATAATAGATGTGAAATCACAAGCTTCTCCTTTCAGGATTAATTTATGTAAGATAATGACAAGCTTTCTCTTTCATAGCTTTGTTTCCAAGCATATAAAGCATATAAGCATCTTCTTCTTTTGTAAAGCCCTGGACTGAAATTATTGGTTGGTTGAGAGTAGAAACTCATGTGGCTATCCATGCGAACAGCAAACAAATCTAATTTGCCTTTCACTATAGCTCATGTCAAATAATTCAGTATGAGTTGGTGGAATAGCAAATTTTTGTACTGTTATGTCTTAACTCTCAAGTCTTTTCAAACCGACATGTATCTTTTTTTAGTCAGGGTGGCAGTAAATGATCCTACCCTAATTTGATCTTAAAATTTTTTAATATGGGTTGATCAATTTAATAAATAGGTCGTGTTAGGATTGGCTTTCCAGACCCGTTTATTAAACTGGTTGGGTTCGAGTTGCCCTACAGACCCATTTTTTTACCCAAAAATGACCCGTGTAATATTTTTTCATTAATTTTTTTTCTTGTAGGTAAATTCTTCTTATTTTTTATCAAATATTTTAACCTTTATAATTAATAAGCTATAAAAATAACATTTTCTTAAACAAAAAAAAATTTAACAGTTCGAGTTGATATTTGAACTTTTTATTAAATGAATTGGATGTAGATAGATTAGATTCAGTCGACTAATTTTCAATCGAACCGAACTCGATCCATTAATCTATTTTAACACCCCTATTATTTTTTTTATATTTTTTACGTGAAAAGCGTAGGTGGGGTCATATGACTTTGGGTTGATTTGAATAAATTGGCTTTCCATGGATAAGAGTTTGTGGCATGTGTGTGTTGGGTGCTTCCAACATTGATGGGAAAGAAAGCATATATTGATCATCTACTTTTGATAACTTAGCAATAGTACGCTATGATAGAGAGTAGCTACATAGCAATCAATCAGCTTCTTTTTAACTTTATAATAAATCACAAAGTTTCATTTAGCAAATAGAGATTACCAAATGAGAATGGATTAATCTTATGTCACTTACAATTGTGTGTGATAATTGTTTGGTACCTATAGATAATGTGTACTGCATGTTCTGTTTGGAGCAGTGATTTGTGCTTAAAGCCCCGTTTGATTTGATGTGAAAATACTGTAAAATAGATTAAGTACAGAAATTTCAAATATATTGGTTTTATCACCGTTTCCATCACCGCCACCTGATACAATCACTGTCGGACTCTAGCAGTCGTCGGCGTCGCTTGTAGACGCCACCATCTCTATCAGCTACCACCCATCGTTGCTCGCCGTCCACCACCGTCATTGAGCATTATTGTGCATAGCCAAATAAAAGAGAATCACTTGTATTTATTTTACAATGATCCACATCTCTTTCATCCAACTGAACAATCACTAAGAAAGTCTAAAATTTTATTCACCGGCTTAGAAAGCATAATTTGGTAATTTATCCTTTGTTCAAGTAACCGTTTATTTATGTTTGGATAAAACAGTGAACAAACAGATGGACAAACGTTCAAATGAATTTGTAAAATTGGTTAGTTTTGTTCACCCGAGCAACCAACAACAATATGCATGATTATTAGGGAAATTAGCAAATAGGCAGTCAATATAATAGTGAATAGGGATTCAAATGAATGAAATCGATTTGTTTCAGAGATGGTCATGTTTTGTTGTAGATTTTACTTCAGATATATTTATATAATTCAATAAGGTTAGCCTCGTGTTTCTTTATTGAAGATAAGAATGGGAGCCTTTGTCAGAGCCGCATATTTTTTTTTTCAGGGAATGACTTTGATTTTGTTTATTATTTATTTTTTAATAGATGAAGCCCAAAGGAAAATTTTATTTTATTTTGCCAACATATCTCATAGAATGAAACGTATGTACCAAACTATTATGCAGTATAGATTAATGCAAATAGATCGATATTAGAGACTAATAGTCCTTAATTGTGATGTAATGTAATTATAAGCCTTCACCATGAACATTTTCCTAATAGATTCAATCTTGATGTGGAATATTAAATTTCACATTCTAATAAATGGATATAATTAAAAAAAAAAAAAACCAGTTACTCCCTTAAATACTAATGATCGTAGGCATAGGATAGTATCTAAAGAATAGTAACAATAGGTTTTTACTGAACAGTAAGTATTAGCATTATCTATATATGAGTGTATTCCTATTGAAGAGTATATATATATATATATATATATATAGATAAAAAGTCCGTATACATTGTTAAACCTATCCAATTGTCCTAAGACTAATCAAGATGGGGGTGAATTGATAATTTAAAAAACTTCTTGATTTTTTTAATAGAAAATTGATTTTTGTAATTTTTTGCAAAACTAAATTTTCAACCATAAAAACTAGTGAAGAAAAATAAAAATGCGGTTATAAAAATGAACACTAGAATTTATAGTCGTTCGGTCCAACAAGACCTACGTCCACTCCCTGAAGACTCCCTCTTTAGGTATTACACTATTACCAAAAGTGACTCTCATTTTGCCCCCACAACAAGGCGAAGAAGCCCTCACAATTTTCCTCTCTTCCACCTATCCCCGGTGCGGTAAAGTACCGTCATCCTTTCATATCCTCCAAGTGTCGGTAGAGTACCTTCATCCTTTTACACTCTCTAAGTGTCGGTAGAGTACTGTCGTCTGTTCACAGACTCCAAGTGTCAGCAAAGTATCATCATCTATTCACACCCTTTAAGTTTCGGCAGTTTATCGTCATCTGTTCACACCTTCCATGTGTCGGAAGAGTACCGTCGTCTGTTCACACCCTCCAAGTGTCGGCAGAGTACGAGATATTCTTCAAAGAACTTCTCTCGAGCAACTAGAAATATTAAAGGAAGAGTGGAAAACAAAAACTAAAAGAAATTCTTACCTTAAAGTAACCTAGTGATCCCTTCATACTCCACTTGTAAGAACTCTCTCTCAAACACTCTCCCAAATACACTCTTTCACTTGCTATCAATGAAA